TATAGCAGACCCGAGTTGGGAGTTTTCCTTGCCCCAGGTCAGTTAGGGTTTGATAAAACCCAAGTTGGTTAAGTTCTGTTAAACTAGTTTGCTTTGAGGGCATACAAAGGGTATTTCAGAATGGTTGCTTTTCCCCTCCAATGGCTAGAAGCAAAAGGAGGCTTACCTTGACCTTCACAGTGAGACCTGGTGGGGCTCACAGATGTAGAACTCAAGGAAATATGAGGGCTTCCCTAAGATATTACCATCTACCCTGAGTTTTTAACTTTCAAGCTAGTTTCTGTTGACTCTCAGCAATTCATCCAAGGTTTAAGTGTTCCTACCAGGACTGCCTTCAGCAGCATCGTTTGTCTTTCCAGTTTTCAGCATAGTGGTTTGCCCTGTGACCTCAGTTCTCTGAAGGAGCTAAGAAGAGTTGTTGATTTTAGTTTGCTCAGCTTTTTTTTTGTTGTGAGAATAGATACGATGATTTCCAAGTCCTCTACATGTCAGACTGGAAACCACTACTTACTATTTCTTCGGTCAAAACTTAGGCCCGGCCACCTAGCTGCAAGCATGCTTAGGTGGGTAAACAATTGTACTGGCTTCCTTGTTGCTCTGAAGAGAACTGAAGTGTTGCTAGTGTGGAAGAAAGTACCTTCCTTTCCCTTCCAGATTGATGATCCTCCTCCTGTAATTCACCACACTTCCTGAATTCTGGAGTAAATGCATATTATAAGAGGAACTACAGCCTATTAGCTTTGTTTTCCTTTCATTTTTGCACAGTCAAGGGAGCTTAGGCATTGCCACCTAGAAACCGAGCATCCTCACCTTTACAGAGTTATTGGACTGTCTTCAGTATTACAAAGCTCCTCCTTTGCAGATGGGCCAGTGTTTGTAATTCTACTCCCATAATCATGGCCTCTCTGATATGCAAGAAATATACCTACACACCATATTTTACATCTGTACACTTATTCCTTAATAAAACAATAATGTAAGATATAGGGGGAGAAGGGAACAGTGATTCCTGATACCACCTTTCTATAGGGTATGGCAATTGCCACTACATCTGAGCCCTTTAACTCTTGAAACCATTTCTTCACAGGTGGTTTGGTTAATCTTCCTGTCACTTTGCCAGCTCAAATATTTTGTGCCATTAATTTCCTCTCTTTGTGACTTGTCCCTCAACACCAAACCATTTAGGGCTTTCAATTAAAACGTTTCCTTTTCTTTCTTGAGCTGCCAGATGTCTTTTATGGAAATGTCTCTAGAACTGTTCTATAAATCAGTCATCCCACCAACTCACTTGAGCTTTCAGAGACAACTGTAATAGCTCACAAATAAATAAAAATATACAAAATAAAAAGTACAACATATGAAAAGCCTGAGCACAACCTGGTATTCAGTATTCATTCTCCTTAATACAAATATTCTGGAATTGTCTCCAGAACATCCAGCTATTTTCTTTTGACAGTATAGACCAGTTATGAAAGTTCTCATATCTGTAAAAGAGAAATATATGTGTTTCTCCCAAGAAAAAACATCAGGAGCCTCAAAGGTCCAAAGTACACACTATGCTCCAAGGGTCTTCACCACTCACCAGAGTGATAATAGCAAGGAAGTACTAGGGGAAACCCTATTCTAGTGTTTCTTCTATATATTGGACAAGACTTAAAAGATCTCCTATTTAAGCACAAGCTCTCAGTGTCTCTCCAATGTGCTCAAAGACCAGTTTTGTTTGATTTGGTTTGGTTTAACTTCCAAACCATCATGGACTTATTATTTTATAACATAGAGTCAAAATGTCAAAGCCGTATCAAATTGGTACAAATGAACATAAGACTAGCAGTAAAACCAGACCACACAGAATCATGCTGCTTTCAACTTCCCAGATTATTCTTTAACTTTTTCTTCTATTTTTTCTAAATTCTTTTGTTATAAGCAGCATCCCTACTGATACCCTTTTCTCATTTTCTTTCTGTTTAAATTGATCTTTGGCTTTGGGGAGAAATATAATAAGTATTTGTATAACTTAGATGGTTTGGATGAAAATGAAGTCCATACCTATAAGTATTTTATTGATATATGGGTTGTGCCCAGTAGAACAGAGGATGCCTTGTGAGGGTAGAACAGAGGTGAAAAGAAGTTTGAAAAAATAATTTTGTTTTGATTTTTGTCTATGTAAAATCTCTATAACAAAAGTTCTCTCCTAATTATAGCATTATTTTAGTTATGGATATTAAAATTATCCTGAAATATTATTTTAAGGTTAAATTCCTGCCAATACAGAAATATACAATCTTTCCATTTGCTCTCGCTTGTCTTGTTGCTCACTTCATTTTGAGTCATTTCAAGACTTAAAACTTAAGAGACCTAAAAAAGACTCTAACAAATGCATATAATATGCTTTCTCAGTCAATCAAGACCATAAACTTGGAAAAGAAAATCCCTGTGGACCTCTGTCACATCCATTAAATTTAGAAATCACTTTGACCCTTTTTCCAAACTGTTATTTTCAGCTTCTACAAATTCTCCCTGCTTGCAGTGTTTGTTGCCTAACAAAAATAAAGTTTTATACCACATTTATCCCTAGATGTGATTTATTTGATAACAGTGCTTTTCAAATCTGGCCTCTTTCTGAGTGGGGCCTTGCTTTAATTTAGCATTTCTAGCTCTTATACGACTCTTTTTGTATAAGGACGGTTTCTTTCCCTGAAACCTTTCCCAGATAATTTAGAGCTTGTATATACTTTCTTTTTATATTTTTAAATTGAATTTCTTTGTCTATTTTAATCTCTTCTTCCAGTGGACATAAACCTGGAGTCTGTGTGGAATAAATCATGCCAGACCAAAATGTGAAGATTTCTAACATCAAGTGCCATTTCATGATATGACTTCATTTGAAAAATAGAGGCAATACTCAGCCATCTCAGCAAAATAAACAGTGGAAACACAACATACAAGCCACAGCATCTGTAATTTGATTAAATACCATATTGCACTGCCATATTCTTCTTGTGGTAAATTTGAGATTTCTTTTTCAAGAAACAATAACAAATAAACACAGGCCTCTGAAAATGATACACTCATGTTTAAATTTTTACAAATAGATTTATGACATTTAAATATTTAGAATTATACTTTAATAATAGGGGGAAAAATTTCCTCTGCTGTTCATTTATGTGACTTGTATTGAAACAAAATGTTTGAAATCTTTAAACAGCACTAGGAAAGAAGTTTTAATATAACTAAAGCCTATGTTATGTGGTGACACTGTAAATAAGCTACAAGGCAATTAAAATTTTCATTTAAGGTAAAATTTGATTACCAAATTAAAATTTACTTTCATGTATGAAATGAATTATATCTGTCCCTGTAAAAATTCTTGCTTAATTACATAAGTAATTTTTAACATGTAAATGGAATTATCACAATTATTTTCTAAGTTAAAGAATTACGACTATTGAATTAATAGGAACATTACATTCAGTGACTAATCTGCCATCTCCAAAATAAAATTAAAGTGAAGTACAGGGAATTCTGCTTCAGGGCATAATGGAAGTACCAGATTTACTTTCCCATGGTAAGCAACTAGAAAACAGGAGGAAATATTAAGTAACAATGCTTTTCAGAAATTAAGCAAAAGTAAACCAAGGGGTGTGATCCTTAAAATAAATGTTTTAACTGCTTGGAGGAGCAGTCCAGATTTTGATGCAGGGAAGAGGATCACAAGCAGAACACAGCAGTTTTCCTGAGTTGAGAAACAAAGAGAATTATTCAGGGAGTCTAGGGTAAAGAATTCCAAAAAGTAAGGAACTATTCAAATTACTCTGTAAATCTGCATATGGCTTGCACTGAGTCTGCTGAATGCTAAGCTGTATGTGCACAAAGAGAAAGTCAACAAGGTCAGATCTGTTTACTTTTTGTCTATCATCAATGTCCACTGTCTAGTGTCCAGTCAAAATTAGTAGGCATGACAATATGCAGAAAATTGTAACACGGTCGGGGGAAATAAAGTCAACAGAGACACAGATGAAAAGAGATGATGGAATTAGAAGAATTAATTCAAATTGGTAATGAGACCAGGAGAGTTTTTTGGGTGATGGAAATATTCTATATCTTCAAGTACACGGATGTATACATTTGCTAAAACTCAGCAAACTGTAAAATGGGTGCAGGACATTATATGTAAATATTACATTAATAAATCAATTAGCCTGGAGGAACATACATTAAAATGTTAACAGTTAACTGTCACTCTGTATCCTATCCTTTGTAATATTTGAAGATTTTTCCAACAAGCAAGAACTAATACAATGAAAGAAAGGAAACGGAAGCGGTTTTGTGGAGACCAGGAATTTGAGGGTTGCATGGGAGTTTACTAGAAATCTCAGGTTCCACCCGACTTGCTAAATTAGCATCTAGTGGGCATCTAGTTAAACTGTAGATGCTGATTTAGCAATTAATATTTGAAATATTTGCCAATTAATATTTGAAAAGCACTAAAAACATTTCTGAAGATCAAAATTACTACTCTTGGAGGGATAAATGAATCCAAAATACTAGTAACCAATGGGAATCTCAACTAATGCCGCTTTCACGAGGCTGTATTCTGAAGTATAGTGATGGATTTCATATTCTACCTTCTCAACTGGAGTAGTACCGACAGTCACTCAGAGGGCAGAAACGGGTGCTGAGGTAGGTCAACTTGCAATCTGCTATCTCGCAAAAGAGGTAGTACAAATTATCCAGAGTCGTGTCACTCATTTATAAATGGCCAGGCAACGGAATCACGAAGGGCTTTGGAGAGTATAACCAAGCTTTCCAACCTTCGTTGCTGAGCACAGCATAAACGTTTCCTGGCACCGAGGCCCTGTTCGCCTGTCTGTCACTCGCCGGGCGGGGCTGGGTGGGGTGGAGCCGCGAGGTGGGTGGGGCATTGCTCTGGCAGGCGGGGGCGAGCTTCAGGGTCGGGGCGGAGTCGCGAGGAGGCGGGTCGTTCAAGCAGGGGGCGGGGCGGGGCGGAGCTGAGCCGCGGGCCGGAGTTGGGGCGGGCAGAGCGCCGCAGACCTGGACGCCGCTCTGACCGCCCAGTTCACACTGCCTGGTCTGGCGCGGGCCCCGTAGGGGACCCCCAGCGGCTGTCTCGATGGGGCTGTGTTTTCCCTGTCCGGGGGAGTCCGCCCCTCCCTCGCCGGACCTGGTAAGGCCGCGTCCTCGGGCCCCGTGACCGCCCTCCCGCGCCGCGCGCACCTGTTCTCCGGAGGGGCGCGTCCGGGGGCCCCGCCCTGCGGGCACCGCGGGCGGTCGGACGCTGTGGCGCGGGCCAGGGAGCCCACCGATGGGGACTCTGGTGGCGAAGTCGTGTGGGACCTTAGGGTCTTGCCAGCGGGACCTGTGCCGCCGCCTCTGTGTCGGTCTCTCCGCTTCTATTTCAAAAGAAAGGGTCCGAAGGCGGCTCTAGGGACTTTTTACCTGTCTCTGAGTTGGGCAAACTGGGAGCTCGTAGGACGCAGGCGTGCGCGGACGGTGGGGTGTGTGGGCCAATCTTGACGATGCAGTAGATGGGGCGAGGGTGCAGAAATTCCTCTCTCCGTGAACCCAGTTTAATGTTCCAAGAGGGCATTTTCCTGTGTCTCCACCGGCTGTTTAAAGAAGGTGCTCAGTTAAGTCCCTAATACTCTTGCGCTTTGTTGGATCCTGTATTAATGATTTCCCTTTAGTATTCATCTCAAGTTTTTCCTTTTTTAAAAAAAAAGTATTTTATGTAGAACAGAGTTTATAATTTGTGACGTTGTTTGGTACCTTTAGCAACAGGGCACGCAGTTAAATTTCAATTTTCATTTACAAAGAATACATTTTAAAAATAAAATTGCCCCATGCAAAATTTGGACCATGCTTATACTAGAAATTGGGTATTTTGTGGTACAGTACATTTATACTTTTTGGAGCTTTTGTTTTTAATGTTAATAGTCCTTACAGGGAGTTGATAACAGAAAACTTAAATTCCTCTCTTCTATCTACCTAAAAAGTCGTTAGAGGAAATGAGTTGTATAGGGAAGTACATTAGCTCTTCAGCCACTTGATTGTAGGTACTAAAATGATCTGAGAGTTGATATGGGAAGGTTTACCTGTCTATCTCCTGTTGCTTTTAAATGTTCATTTTGTTTATTTGGCGGTTGATAACATACAAATCTGCCAGCATTTGTTAAGCCCAGCCACCATCCCCTCAGATAACCACATGGCTTACTACTTAAGTGTCACTTTATCTTTGAGGCTTTTCTTGACCACCCTAAATAGATCCCCCGCTATACTACCCACCCATCCTTTCATTTGTTGTGCACCATATTCTGTATTTTCCCAAAGCAGTAACTACTATCTGACAGACATATATTTACTTGACTAAAAGTTCCATATGGCTGGAAACGTTTTTTTTTTCACTTATGTATCCTCAGGCCCTAGAAAAGTTCCTGAGGCATAATAGTTGCTCAATATTTGTCCAATGAATGAATGAGTATATGTATTGTGGTGTGAAAAAGAAGGAATTATTAACACAAATTCCAAGAGAATGCTACTACTGTCTTACATATTTATATATAATTTATAATAGTAATATGTCATGTAGAAAATTAATGTTCACTGTTTGCCAACATGGAACAGTGCCTCTCATAAATTTCTTTCAGTCCTTCCTATCCTGCACAATGAGATTAGCCCACTTCATTCATGAAGTTTTCTGAAAGTACCAGCTTACTTCAAACTCCTTTCTAACAGACAGTACCAACCAAACCATGTATTTTACTCCTTGTGTTATTAGATGTCATTCTCTTTATTAATTGCCCTGACTAGCTTGTAAGCCCTTTAAAAAAAAAAGCCAGCAACAGATTATTTTATAGGCCAACCTGAATATTTATACACACACACACACACACATATTTATGACATAATGTATATAAGATATATATTTATATGTTTTATATGCTTATTTGAAGTCATATTGATTAGGAGAATGAAATTCAGAAAGTTAAATATTTTATAAATGTTGTAAACAGTGGCAGTCTTAGTGAACATTTTGGGCCACTAAACTCTTATAAACAACATAAACTGTTATATTACCTACAAGATATGGGTGTATAAATTATCCATGATAATATCTGTTTTACTTTAAAACATATTTTTTAAACATTTTCCTTAGGAAGAGAAAAGAGCAAAGCTTGCAGAGGCTGCAGAGAGAAGACAGAAGGAGGTGAGAGTGGAAATAAATTTTTACCTCCATAGATAAGTTGTACTTTCTTTTCAACAGATGTCTATTACTAGTAGTATTTTCTAATGAAAATGTTTTCTGATATCCTATAAATTTATGTTAAAGATAGTTATTTTTCAAAATGATTTCTGTTTTTATAAATTACATTAATGCATTTATGTCATTTAATGAATGAAAATTACTATACAGAAGTCTTCTGAAATGTGAGACACTCCTTTACTAACTAACATTGTTCCTTGGGATAAAATGACTGCTTCAGTAAACAATGACAGATGTGAAGTAAGTTTAGGGGGGAAACACCTAATAAGGAAATGATAATATCTTGTATGTTTTCTGTAAAGCTGTTGTAGAAATAGTATAATTCTTTGTTACCAAAAATGGAACCAACACCCTGGCTCCAAAGAAAAAACTAAAAAGGAAAAAAACACAAGTACCCTAGACACTGGAAACTGAATTTTTTCGTTTTTTTGTACCCCTTAACAAATTTCTTAAAGGCTGCATCTCGGGGCATTTTGGATATTCGGTCTGTGGAAGAAAAGAGAAAGAAAAAGGAAAAAATAGAAAAACAAATTGCTACATCTGGCCCCCCACCAGAAGGTGGACTGAGAGTAAGTATTAAAATTAACTTAAGTTTTAATTTACCTGGCATTTTTAAAACCTTAAATAGCAGTCTATTCAGGAATTTCAAGTGGATTATCAGGAAATTTGAATTAATTAAAAAGCATGAATAATGTAGACTGGAAGAAGTGTCAATTTATTTGGACATTCCATTATTCATTGGAATAGATTTGCTTTCTTTTTCCCAAAATGAGAATAGATTTTTCATGATTATCTTAACACTTACTTACATAATTAATCCTAATCTTAAATGCGTATAAAACTTAAGCAATAAAAAATACAAAAAAATCACCCAAATTTGCTGCCATTTTGACAGACATTGTTTCTAATCTCCATTTATATATCGATCTTACTAATTGGGCTACACTACAAATTCTTTCTGTATAACCTACATTTTTGCTCCAAATGATTTGAGAGATTTTTTAACTTTCCACTGTCACTCATTATCTTAGTTATCTGAATGTTAGTTTGGACAATGGGGTGTACAGGGGTGTGTGTGACCTATTGCACCTCTCAGTGGAGCAATTACAGCTTTTGACACTAGCAGAATAAGGATGGACAAGCTAAGTTTCCTGAACTTGAGAATCTTTATAGTCTACAGGACTGTAAAGGTTTTATTTTACATGTTAAAGCTCAGGGAAATAATAGTTCAGATATTAAGATTTTATCCTTTGGTTCATTTTTAAAGGAAATAAATCTCTCAAGTAATTATATTTGTAAAAAGGACAATGTCCTGAATTTCACTTATTTATATTTAACTTGTCAGTGATTTATGAGCAGTTTAGCTGATTCACTGTCTTTTCAATTCAGTTTGGTGTTTATTCTCAAAAGTGTATATATATATAAAACTAACTAACTTGTGGGACAGGGAATTTAGGAGCCAGTCTCATGAACCACTACTGTTGCCCACTGTGTTGTTTTCCCTTGGACTATTCCTAATCGCTTCTACAACTAACACAGTTTCTTTAAGGAACGTGATCCTTCCCCTTGACTACCTGTATAGTTCATCAACAGCATGCACTGAAGTTCAAAATAAAATGTTGAAGGCTTAGGGATAACAGATGGGCAAATACAAGGCAGAGAATACTTTAATCCTCCACTACCTCGGCCTAGAGTTCTTGAAGGGCTACTGTCAGGCCTGTTCTGCAGGATGACCTGGAGTGTCCTGTAGTATATATAGCTAAATTCTTTCTAGCCAGACCCCTTAGTATGAAGAAATCATGTCCTTTCCCTGCCTTCATGCCTTTTTCATATTCATCCCCTGACTAGCTCTTCTCTTGCCAGGATAATTGTATTGGTAGTACTCACTGTCTCTTGGAGAGGCAGCCTTATTTTAAGAAATTTCTGTGGTGATAGCATCAGACCACTAACATCAGTACAGGAGAAGGGGCAGACCTCTAGTGCTGTGGCTCTCAACCCTGGCTGCACGTTAAGAGTCTCATGAGGAACTTTCAAAAAAGGCTGACCCTTGGATACCACTTTATACCAGTCAGAATCTCTGAGAATGGGGGTTAAGCTGTCTGGACTTTTTAAGCTCCTCAAGGTAATCTAATATCAGACCAGATTGAGATACACTGCTCTAGTGTTTTTAATACTTGTCCTGAGAGATATATTGTGGAAAATAGAATCCCATGGTAAAAACTTCTCTAAATTGTATACTAAATTATTTATTGTATATTGAATCCTTTTCTTGAAGAATAAAAAAGGCATGATATTCAAGCTCTAAGAATCCTAAAGTAAATAAAAACAAGTTTACTAGATTAACCCTTAATTTTCAAAAGTTATTTAAATACAGATCTTTAAACATATAACGTCCGGTAATATTACTTGGATGTACTTGGAAAATACTACTCAAAAGACTGGCAGAATAACTCTGGTACAGTGGCTCTTCCAGAACCTGTTGTAGATTTAATAAACTTGATTAAACAGAACAACAAATGGAAGAGTTTCTCAAGTCAAGCAAGGGAAAGATTTTGCCAAACCATTAATTTAATACGTTCTTCCTTTTCTGGCTCCCTGTCTCACACAAGAATTCCTTTATTTTTATTTCATAGTTTCATTGTTCTGTTTTGTGTTTTGTTTTTCCTTTACTGACCACTAGATATTTGGGACCTAGCTACCCATTAATCTGCCCAGATACTTTGTTTTACTTCTTTATGATTTTGAGCCACCATGTATCTTATTTCAGACTTCTGACTATAATGTAAAATTTTACTGATTGTTGCTGCAAGTAATTTTGCATTTGTATAGCCCATAATCCTCTCTTTACCTGCTTGCTTACTAGAATATTGCTGCATGACTAAGTAAAATTTACTTTTCTCTGTGTATTTTTATCTTTTCTAAAGTGGACAGTTTCATAAAGTGTAACATGAGTGGAAGAGTCTACTGCCAATAACATCTCTGCAATCAAGTGGACACCCTCCGTATAACTTCTCTTTGAATAAATGATGATTCAGGCTTTGTAATTTTAGTGCCCTTACATGTAGTGCTTTTTCAATATTGAAATGTTGAAAATGCTTTTGATATTCAAACTTAGAAAATGGCCAGGCATTTCATTAAATGCTATTTTCCTAAATTGCTCTTCTGTTGGTAGTGGGTGATTTGCCATTTTTTAGCAGTTAAACATGGACCTAAATAGTGAAAATATATATATATGTATATGTATATGTATATGTATATGTATATGTATATGTATATGTATATGTATATTTACATTGCATGTAAAAATGCTGTATATGTCTCAAGTAATAAAGTTTGCAATTGTATTTTCCCTCCTTTATAAAAGATCTAGCTATTTATAGTTTGCTACTTAGCCTTTTAGCTCTTTATTTCATTATATATGAAGACTGCTTAAACTTAGGGACTTAGTGCCTTTAAACTGATCATCAGGGAAAATACTGAAAAATCACTTGAAGGGCTTATGTGAAGGAACACTGTAAATTTTTATAACTTACTAAGTAATGAATGTTTAGAAAATGTTGAATTTCTAATTTATTTTCTATGTCTGTAGCTTATAAAATTAACTTTCTGTGTTTTACAATAAAGTTTCTTTTTGCTTGCTGAATTTAAAATTATATATTAGTAGTACCATCAGAGGGCAGTGATGTTTTACTGTACAATATCAGATTTGGCTCTGTTAAAGATCTTTATAGTATCTAGTTAAACTAAGAATCTGGAGGGTTATTCTGAATGGTAATTTGTCCAAATTTCATAGGTATTTTCTTTTGTATTTTTTAAAGAATACCAGAAGGTTTATGCAGATGGAAATTACCAAGCCGTATAAATATATGAAAGAAAAACACAGAGGTACTATATTTAAAAAGGTATAAACATATTAGGTAATTCTATATGATGCATAGTCATAAACTATTTAGATTTTTGTTCATTAGTAACATGAGTTTTATAGCATTTTTGTTTTTTGAGGGTTTTGGGGTTTTTTTTAGTATGTAAGTTAAAATAGAAGAATTGCTGTATATTTTATTCTTTAAAATGACAAGGCCACAATCTGAGCCCCAAATGAGAATGTGCAGGTATTAAGTGCCAATAGGGAGTGTAAGTTAAATAGACCAGCTTATTTATTTAACAGAAGCAAAACTGAGCCACTATCTTCCCTATCCCTCCTATAAGACTTGTGTTATATTGCAATATATTGTATATATTAGTTTTAAAGAGTTTGAACTATAATATAGGTCTCTCGACTACTCATTGGAAAATTACTTTATTATGGCATGAACTATTCTATGAATATCCAGGCAAGACGTAGAATTAGGGTCAATTTTTTTCATCCTTTTGAAAGTATGTGGTATTTTGTTTATAAAGGATAGTGAGGTCATTGAACTGTATTTTAAAAATAAAATTTTTGACATAATCAACATGATAAATTTTTCCAAGGCAGAAAGGAAAAAAGGATCATTAATAGTTGAGTGGATATAGAACCAGAGCATACCATCCTTGAACTGTATAAATCCTTCTTTATGTTTTAATGTAGAAGAGTTTTATCTGTACCACATCTTAAATTACAACTTGGGTTAGTGTAACAAAGGTCTATATCCAGAAGATAATGTCCTCTTTCTAATAGCAATTTCATATCCAAATACCATGCTAAGTTACTACTGAACCATGAATGATAAGCTGGAGTATTGCCTTTTGGAAACAGTAGGATATGCTGCTCCAGTCCACTATAACTTACCTGCATGGCTGTGATCAATTTTCTCCTAAATCACATGGGTTGCATGGGCTAAGGGGTGATGCTCAAATGTCAAGAACAATACTAGAAAGGGTAAGAGAAAAAGGGAAACTAGGGATATAGGAAACCAGTAAGTGACTACTAAATAGAGCTATATATCTATATTTATAGATACCTGTATTTATAGATTAATGTAGATATATCCAGGCAGCAGTGTCATAAAGTTACAAATCAATTCCTGATGAAAACCTTGGAGCCAATTTCCCATACTTCATATTTTAAATAGGAAAACATTATGATGTTTAATACGTCCCCAAAGCCCCCAAACCACATTACTAAAATATAACTGAAACAGTAAAATGTGTACATGTAACTCTCATGTTGTGATGTATAATGCTTAACTCAGTGTTTCTTTATTCTAATCAGACTTAATACAACTGGTAACAGAAAGTTGTATATTATTACACGGCCCCTTTGTTAGCTTGCATGTTTTTAAAAACATCTATATATGTTGATTGTATTTAGAATGTAATAATCCCACATGTGGTTTGTTATAGATTCTGTATTGTCTTATAGGGATAATAAACACATATTTTTTCCTATATAACAGTTGGCTTTGACTGTCTCTGTTAAACAAAATTTTATCTTCACTGCATCTTAAATAATTAGAATTTAGATGAGTGGTTAGAAAAACCTCTGGATGTTTTCATCAATTTTGGATTAACAGGAACAGAGCTAAAGGCTCTTTGGTGTGTCCATACAATCCTTAAATTTATAAGTAAGCATTGTTCTTTTGCTATGCTCTAAAGGAGAAATGATATTAGTCTCCGGTTTTCTGAGAGAAATGCTATCATAATGAAGGTTCTAGCTATCATCCTTGGTATCCCAGGGGAACTGACATAAGATTTGAATTCTCCTTTTCTCCTTCAACAATCAACTTGATAAGAATTATGCAACCCCTTAGAAGAAAAAGTAACTCACCAATTTTAGATCCGAATTATATCTGCAAAAATAGATAAGTAGTAGGTAGGTAGATATGCACACCTATCTGTATTGACATTTAATGTGTATTCCTTTAACATTTCCAAACAAGCATCTCAAAATTCCCATGACTACTATATGTGATTTAAGTTGATTCAAATGTACTATGGCCATTTTCTTTGATTTTCTTAAAAGGCACAAACACAAAGCATTTGTGTATATAGCAGATTTGGAGAAATTTTGGTTTGATAGAGAAGTTTGTGTCCAAACAACTCAAATACTTCAAATTTCTCTTATGGCTTTTTATTATCCTGTTATCCCTCTTCCAGGTGTGTTTGTTACAAACATTGCCTCTGAGTATTATGATGGACAAAGAACTGAATATTCATAAATTAATTGACCCAGATATGATACTTTTATTATGTCCTGAATTACATTGTCTATTTTTATGGTACTATACTTGACTCGAGTTTTGAGTCAAAAAACAAGGTTGAGCTATTTTTTTCAAATACTTCAAACTTATCTCAAATGGAAATAGTTTTCCATACAAACTGGCTCTATGCTATTTCTCTGAAATCTATTTTATTACATAAGTCAGAAGTCGAGGAGAAACTCCTTACTCTAACTCCTACAGTGCCCTTTTCTCATTCTGCATTTCTTAGATAGGTTATAAGTAACAGACATACTTACAAAAGGTTTAAAAAATACCAAGCATCTCATCTGTTGAAAAAAGTACATAAAAATTTGTAGAATTAATGAGTTTAGTAAGATTGCAGACAAATCAGTATATGAAAAGGTCAATTACAATACACAAGTAATGAGCAGTCTGAAAATTAAGAAAATTTCAATCGTGTCATCACATAGAAAAAAATACTAGAAGAAAAGTAAAACATCTGAACTAAAAGCTATAAAACGGGAAAAAAGATCAAAATGGTGAGACATCACATGTTTATGGATTAGAAGGCTCTATGTGTCAAGATTGTGTTCTGAAATTGATAAATTCAATGCAAAATCTCAGCCAGCTTTTGCTAAGAAATTAACAAAATGATCCTAAAATTTATATGAAAATACAGATTTTAATAGCCAATCTAATTTTGAGAAAAGGAAGTAGTAATTTTCACTAAGGAGTCAATGAGTAAGCCATCTACATTTGATCATTTTCTTCTGAGAATTGTCTCATTTTTCCATAACCTTGCTTCATGCCATTCAGCTAGCAGCTAGCTCCTAATGTCAACGGTGATCAATTCTAACATTAACAACACTTAAAAGATCATCATAGGTGTAGTATAGGTAGAAAGAATAATGCCTCCTCCAAAGAACAGTAGCAATCCCTGGAACCTGGGAATATGTTACATTACATGGCAAATAGTATTTTGCAGAAGTGATTCAGTTAATTACCTTAAAATGGGGAGATTAGATTAGATTATGTAGGCTGCCTAAAGTAAATCTAATCACATGGAACCTTAAAAGCAGAGAGCTTTTGCAGTCTGTGGTCAGGCAAAGAGATATAAAGAAACAAGCATCATTTAGGTACTTGATTGCTAGCTTTGAAGACAGAAGAAGGGGACCTGGGCCAAGAAAATCAGGCAGCATCTAGAAGGTAGAAAAGGCAAAGAAACAGATTCTCTCTTAGACTCTGTTTAGACAGCCCTGCTGACATGTTGATTTTAGCCCAGTGAGACTGTTGTAGGGAAATGTGTGGGGAGGTTTCCCTGCACAGTAGGTGAGACCTCAACCCTGGAGAGGGCTCTTGACTGATCAGAAAGAATTCATGAGCAGGTTGAGCAGGTGCAAGCAACAGCTTCTTAAAGGAAAAATACACACACAACAGAGTGCGGGCAGGCTCGAGCAGTGAGCAGCAGTGGAGTGGCTAGGTTTGGATTTTTGAAAAGGGTCTGATTAACTATGGGGTGAATATTTATGGATGTGGAGGTAGGTAATCTGCCTAATAGATTGGGTTGCACATACCTGGTAAGGGGAAAAAAAATGTTTCCTCTTAAGAGGAAACTGACCTGGTAGGCAGACCACAAGACTTTGTTTAATATGTCCCCCCATCAGCAAGCATCCTACTGTTTTGTACTTTCTGTCTTAAACCCTGAGAACCTGAGTGCCTCTGCTTCCTTTTCTAGCCTGCCTCAAGTCCATCAGAAACTTCTGACCTACAGAATTGTAACACAGTAAATTTGTGTTGTTTAAGACACTATGTTTCTGGTAATTTGCTACATCAGCAATAGAAAACTAATAAAATAGATGAAAAGATTAATAGTATTTCTGTTAACCTAAACTTATTTTTTAATCAAGTTAATGAGATTAATTATTAAAGCTATAAAAATGTTTATGGGAAAAATTAAGCACAGGATAAAGATTTGATGAAAATGTTATTGCCAGTTACTATACAAATTCAGTGTTAATGTTAATTTGGTAATTAAAAAAATCTAATCATTCAATGTATACATCTAAAAGATATAGTTATTCACTGTTTCAAGGTGGTTTTATTTCTTACAAAACTTGTTGGGAGCCGGTCCGAACCACCAGCCTGATGACACAGTCCGGGCAGTCATATGGCAGGGACTGCACGGCGGCCTTGCCAGAGGAGCCACCCCGATATCCCTCCTGCTCAAAATGTCCCTCCTCATAAATTTGCTTATTTCAGTTTCAAGTCCAGCTGCCCCTTCAGAGAAGAGGCCATATCCAATTCTCTCTGAAAATTTTAGGTACTGGCCCTAAAGGAAATTGGAAAAAACCACTACTGTCCTTGTGACTACCCCCAATGATGCGAAAGTGAGACCCCATGAGTACTGGACCCAAGTTTAAGGGAAAAGGGATATGGAAATTTACCTGGGTCAAGGTTCCTTCCCCCGCCCCTACATGGCCTCCAAATAACATATTCAATGTTTAATGGCAACAGGTGGGTACAGAGAACAAATGATATTCTTTGGCTAGCCCACCAAAGAACAACCTGGCAAACTAAAACACAAATGAGAACACGGCATTACCTAACTCCAGATCAGAAAAATCTCCATTGTAAGTCCTTCTGAAAATGGGTCTGAGGCACAGTTCATAAAATTTCTCCCTGCCTGCCAAAAAGTCATTGTGTCATTTTAGAGAGAGCCTCTTTCTTTCCTATCGGAGAGAAGAATGGGAGTATAGCTATGAAAGAATGAAGGCCCTACATAAAAATAATAGAATAGTGAACTTTAGTCATCTGTAAAGAAACCAAGAGTCTGGCACCTACCTAACCTTTACAAGATTTTCTGACCACAATAACTAGGACCAAGAGCAGGTGATTTAATCTCATTTTCCAAACTCATGTAACCTTGCTATATGTCAAATAAATGAACAATGCCTGTACTTTACTTTATGTAATCAGAGAGTATAAACACAAGCTGCTACTTTTCATTAAAGGCCAGGCTCAGCTTTTGCTAGTGTCTGGGTCCTCATTCATTTCAGTCAGTCACTGACGTCGTCCATCCTTCAGGGACTCCTGGACTCGCTGGAGCAGGACTCCAGCAAAACTTTTTTTTTCCTGAATGATTATCACCACTTCTAGTACCGCCAGACTATACCATGCCTGTTGTTTAAAAACTTGCCAGTTAGCAGGTTTATATACTTTGACTAAATTGGTCATGCAGTGTTTTGAGATACTTCCTCCTGACTCTGTGGAGCAAGAAAAGTGGATTTTGTTGTTTAAAAAATCAGGAAGTGACAAATTAACTCTGCCTATACTTTTCTTATGCATGGTACCACTTAAGGGACTACCTGTAATAAAATCTAGATTTTCCCCTAAGGAGAATAAACACCACCACCACTCAGCTGCCCAAAGTAAAGAAATACCAAGTAACCACAATTTGACTCTTCCTAGAACTCTCAGAGAAAGTTGCCATTTGAAGATTTTTATTCCAGAATGAAGCGTTGTTATAAAGAAAAAATTTTTTAAGTATCTTTTTAATTATTGAATCAGAGAGGACAATATCTTGCCGTTTATTAAGTACAAAACAGCCCTGTCCTAGGTATACAAGGATATACATAAGTCTGTAACACCATTAGCTACAGTGACTTTATTTACTAGACAGCATAGCAAAGTAGGATTAACTAAAGATATATTTCAATAAGAAAATGCTATAAAATAACATGAAGTCAATGAACATTTGACTGTACAATTTACTCTGTCAAAATATAAATGTATGTCAGCTTATGTATGTGAATTACACTAAGTCAGTCTCAAACAGCCGTGTGCTTAGGAATGTGTGACACAATTCATACGTGATTATCTAAGGGATGTACCGAAAACTTTCAAAAGTACCCCAGATATTTGGTCACTGATAAGGGATAAACTTTAAGGCAATTTTTCAAGTGAATGTAAACTTTTTGAAGTGGCTTTTCCAGTAGAGTATTACTGTTGTGAACACTCTGTAGTGCAGTTGGATATTTATAGTAGCACATTATCACACTAATTGTCACTTTTTAAAAATTAGCTTAAAAATCCTGCAATTATAAAAATGTCTGGGGTGCTTTTACTCTGTAGACACAAAGCAGGCACTTCCTGTTTACTTATCTGTAAATCCTAAATATTTTCTCCTAATAAGAGTTTTCATCTCTTTCTAGAATTGTATTTCCAATATTGTGTTCTAAATACTGTGTTCACATACTGAGAAATAATTGATCTACCATTCGTCTACTTTAAATCTGAGTTTAGAATTTCTTTTAATAGGTCATTTTCTACTGAAGCATTAAAATAAATAGTGCTACTCTTTGAACATTTTTCAATAGGATGATATGTTTCTGTCCGTTACATCTTTTTCCAAAGTAATTCTCAGAACATGTGGACTAAACTGACTACACTGGAGAAGTGGATACAGGCCATTATGAGAGTCCCCTTGTAGTGACCGGCTAGTTTCATTTAATCTCTTTCTTAGCCTTATAATTGGCAGAGACCACCAGGTAATTATCTGGATTCATGTCCTTAAGAGTTGGAGATTTGCTCTGGATGGGGGATGTTTTGCCATCCACACGGGAGATCTGTAGCATCCGGCAGGGGTCGTGTTTCAACAAATACCCTGCAAAAGTTTCCCATCCTCCTCCCACTCGGACCATGACGTGTTTGTTGTGCAGCATCTGAAATGAAATAAGAGCGAAACGGTTAAACTCTTGAGAATTCTTCTGGTATCTCAAATCAGCTTTCAGTTCAGGTGGTGTTCCTGTGTTCTATCTGTCTTGCTTTTCATGCCCCATTGTTTTTCTACTTGGTGCACAGCGTCTGAGTTAGCATATAGTTTATGAAAGAAGCTTTGTTTTCCTTTGCAAGAGGGTCATGTGCACACCATCCCAGGGATCCAGCTTTGCCCTGCTCTGGGAGTCAGGGACTGTGTATAATCCCTTGCTGGGTTTAGTTGTCTGGAGGCTTCTCTCTGACTCTTGATGTTCCCTGACAGCCTCATCACTGTTCCCGTTTCCTGCCTACTGCCTCAGATGAGTGCTCCATATTCACCCACCCCCCAGGTTATCCTCTCTGAACCAGGACTTAAAAGACCATGGAAATATCTGCTGTTCAATATAGTGTTGATAATCACATAAATATTCACAACAAAATAGAACTGAAAATGCACTCAGAAGTCAAGTCACTGATCCCTTCCAGGCAAGATGCTATTGAATGGCCAAACATTTATGTTTTCCTTTATTCTTATTCTTCCTAATTACTTAAATTTTACCTTAAAAAAAAAACACCTTACCTTAAGGCCTGTGAACCATCTAGAACTCCAGGTTAATAAGGCTACAGATCAAAAAAGTGAAGAATTATATGTTTCCTTCTATCTACAAAAGACATGCTAGAGCTGTGGAGGTCCAGCATGGAGAGCCAAAGAATTTCACCCTGGCTTTTTTCAAATGTCACAAAATGAAAAATTAAGGAGGAATGTTGAAACATCACCAAAGATCCTGTTGACAGCCTCTTTTCCCCCCATCCTCCCCAACTCCCATCCCACACAGTATTATGAAAACACACTGGCCATGTAATCTTGGAAAGGGGATGTAGTTGTATGAGGGGTTTTGGAGGTATTTTAATTGCAGGACCTGTAAAAACTATTTTAATTCCTCTTGCTCTGTGTCAGCTTGAGATCTGGACTTTTTGGTCTCCGGTCAAGTGGAAGATGACTTGTGCTCTTACACTTTCATTTACATGTGAGAGAATCTGATGCAAGTTCTGGTCTCTCTTTCTGAATGCCTGGATCCACAGAATTTTGTCTATGTGCTTAGGATTTTAGTGACTCCCAGAAATCCATTCATAGACTCACATGTGCTCTTACTGCTTTCATTTACATGTGAGAGAATCTGATGCAAGTTCTGGTCTCTCTTTCTGAATGCCTGGATCCACAGAATTTTGTCTATGTGCTTAGGATTTTAGTGACTCCCAGAAATCCATTCATAGACTCACACTAAGAAATCCTGATTCATGGAATCGACATGAAGCAGTTTCCAAAATCAAATATTGTGCAAAGTCATAAAAGTGTGCTGCATGTCAATAATAAAAACTGTTAGACTCATGAGAAGTAAATGTAATTCTACTGGTTATTCTCATTTAGAATTTAAGAATACAAAGGATCTTGGGAAGCATCTTCTAGCTAGAGAAGTCTTAAAACTTATTTTAGCATCAGAATCTACTCATTAAACAAATCTTTCATATATATATATCCCTAGAATATAAAGCAGAAAAGGCAGTCAGAATTTAGCTTGTAACTCTTTTGCCTCCACTTGTCCTGCCAGTGTGTTCTTGTTTTGCAGGTGAAGACATTGGGGCCCAGATCTCTGATGTGATTTGCTTAGACTAGGACCCAGATTTCCTGACTCTACTCTGATAACTTTTTCCATAGAAGCACCTCCTTATAAAATTAAATCTATCAAGGCTTTTATAATTTTACTGGCTTATTTCCATTCCCTGTGTGTGCTTCTATTACCTGCTTCCAAATATTGGAGTTACTGGAACAAAAAAGGCAAAGGCCAGGGTCAAAGCAGTACTTTGACTCTTTTTCCCATTGTTGTAGAGAGCAGCTTGGCTTTTTGTTGAAGTTCTGGCACCTCCTAGCCCTGCAAATTGCATTTAAGAGTTGCCTCTAAACAACAGCCTTGGTATGAATGCCTCTGCCATAATGCCCAAGTTCATTTGACTGTGAGCAGGCTATTTCAACCAGAAAGAACCACCAGTCAGAACAATTCTTAAACAATTAGTTACTCTGGAAAACAGTGAAAGAAGTGTTTTTCTGCCTGGAGTACATGATTGGTTAGGTGTCAACTCTGCTTGCAGATTCTCTAATGAATCCTGCAAAGGGGATCCAACATGAAACAGAGTCACAGTGACTGTGGGTAACACAGGAATTAAATTTCTGGCCAACATCTCTTCCATTTCCTTCCAATAGCTAGTCAGCAACCTACTTGTGAAGAATGCCAGTGGTCCAACTGCGCAACAGTTTCAAGCATGGGATTAAGGTTTTAGGACCATAGGGGTTTACAGCCTTGAATGTGGAGATTTAAATTCCATGCCTTTAGTTAGTATGTGTTTGGTCTCAAGAAAAAGTTTCACACCAGCTTCATCGCCATAAAGAAAATCTCTACAGTTTAACCTAAAAGCAATTCAACCTATCCACCAAATTAGTCTCAACACCTTTGTCCCTTCACAGTGCTTGCTCTACAAAACCCGGACCTTGATCAGCTGTATAATCATCCTTTTAAGTCAGGGCAAATTAGCTGAGCACTGCTGGAAGAACTCTTTCCATCTCAGGGATCAGTGACATTAGGCCAGTTGCAACTAACTGATCCTTTTATTTTTTGTTTTGGTCAGCTCCATTTCCTATTCATCTCGATTTTTCTCAAACACTACTTACCTCCAGCCTCATCAGTCTACTGATGACTTCACCTTCATCAGGCATGGCTTCCTCTCTCTTGGAACTTCCACTGACTAATTTACTTCAATCTACATTTATCCCTTTTTCCCTACTTTTCTTATAACAGAAATAAGCCCTTCTGTTCAAGGTCGATTCCTTCCCTTAAATCCTAATTCCCATTACCTTTCATGTTGAACCTAGCTGAATCAAACACCCCATCTCTCTTCTCTCTCTCCAATTTATTGTATAATGGTCCTAACCCTTCAAGAAATAAACATTCCCAAGCCTGTCCATTCTTATACAAAGCAAAACTCTGCTCCTTCCATCCCAGTCTACATTCGCTGTTCCAGATAGTTAAGTTTACACTTGCTGTCTTTACTGCTGAACTTCTATTCACTGTCCAACCCACTATGCATTGCTTCAGCTACCTACCTCATTTTTTTCTTTATTAAAGTATCACTGATACACAATCTTATGAAGGTTTCACATGAACAACATTGTGGTTTCAACATTCACCCATGTTATCAAGTCCTCAGCCCCCCATTGAAGTCACTGTCTATCAGCACAGTTAAGATGCTATAGAGTCATTACTTGTCTTCTCTGTGCTGTACTGCCTTTCCCATGACCTACCTATATTTGTGAATGCAAATTATAATGACCTTTAATCCCCTTCTCCCTCCCTCCCCATCTACCCTTCCCACCCCCTTCCCTTTGGTAACCACTGGTCCTTTCTCAGAGTCTGTGGGTCTGCTGCTATTTTGTTCCTTCAGTTTTGTTTTGTTGTTATACTCCACAAATAAGTGAAATCATTTGGTACTTGTCTTTCTCCTAGTGGCTTATTTCACTGAGCATTAATACCCTCTAGCTCCATCCATGTTTTTGCAAATGGTAGGATATATTTTCTTTTTATGGCTGAGTAATATTCCAATGTGTATGTGTACAACATCTTCTTTATCCATTCATCTACTGATGGACACTTAGGTCGCTTCTGTATCTTGGCTATTGTAAATAGTGCTGCAATAAACATAAGGGTGCATATGTCTTTTTGAATCAGGGATTTTGTTTTCTTTGGGTAAATTCCTAGGAGTGGAATTCCTGGGTCAAATGGTATTTCTATTTTTAATTTTTTGAGGAACATCCATATTGCTTTACACAGTGGTTGAACTAACTTACATTCCCACCAACAGTGTAGGAGGGTTCCCCTTTCTCCATACCCTCGCCAGCATTTGTTGTTTGTTGTCTTTTGGATATTGGCCATCAGCCCCCTGCCTCTTAACTGACTGTATAGGTGAAGGGAACCAGACAGCTTCTCAATTATCAAATCCAATGGATGATCCTTAATCCTAATCTTTCTTGATCACTCAAGAAACATATCTGATGGGAGTGACTACCCCTTTCTAAAACCCGTTATTTTTTTTCTTTATGATAAGACTCTCTTTCCCAGATCTCCTGCTACCTACCTGAGTGTTCATTCTCTGCCTTTTTCCTAGGTTCTGTTACTTTTCCCTGTTTTTATGTTTTGCTGTTCCAAAAGATTCCAAAGGATTTCTTTCTCCGCTGCTTTACTCACCCTAACCACTTTCCATTTGCAACCTTGTGGTTTTCACTACCATCAAATTGTCCTCCAATGTATATCTATAGCCCTTGCCTTTTCCTGAGTTTCCAAATGCAAAGGCATAACCAGCCCACTTCCTTCTACTGGTAGGTCCTACAGCCTTTCCTAAAAGAGTGGGTGGCATGGGCATTCTCTGTCACTAGTTAGATACCAAAAACATTCATTTCCCTACTGAATGTTTCTTGGGATCTTTGTAGTCTTCTCCCTGAGAAGGTCTCGCTGCCTGCAGCCTTGCTCTGTCTAATCTGGTTAGCAAACTGCCACCAGTGGGAATTCCAAAAAGGCAAGTTTGATTGTCACCTGCCTTAAATGCCTTCACTCTCTCCTTCTCTCACTCTCCTGTAGGATGCGATTCAGTTCCCTTTATTTGCATACATTATTCACCATGACAACTCCTGCCAGTCTCATCCATCCACCCTTCCCTGAGCTCTAGGACTTCTGAATTCTTTTAATTCTACATTCCCAGATAGCATATTCATTCTTTCACGTTTTTGCGCCTTTGCCCCTAAATGTGGAACAGGAGATGTTGCCCTTCCTACTCAGTAGGACCACAAATATTTCCCCAATTCAAATATCACCTCCACCTGAAATATTTTCCATGATCATCTTCCTTACCAAATCAGTGA